CTCCCTCCTATCTTGATGCCACATTCCTCTTCACAGAGTCCAACTTCTTGAATAATTATCTCAGCATACATATTAAATAGGTATGCAGAGAGACTACAACCCTGAAAAAAAATCTGTTCTCAATTTCAAACTATGCAGTGTTCTCCTGCTCTGTTCACACAAGAGTCTTCTGGTCGAGGTATAGGTTTCACAAGAGCTCTGGGACTCCCTTCCTTCTCAATGTCAGCCACAGCTTGCTATGATCCACACAATCAAATTCTTTGCATTGTTGCTAAAGCATAAATAGACATTTTTCTGGCATTCTTTACTTTCAGCCAGGATGCATGTGACATCAGCAATAATATCCCTAGTGCCATAGCCTCTTCTAAATCTTGTGTGAACTTCTGGCAGTTCCCTATATTTGTACTCTTCTAGATGTTTTTAAATTATCTTTAGTCGTATTTTGCTTGCACTCAATATTAACGGTATTTTTTTATAGTTTCTACATTCAATTTAATCATCTTTCTTTGGAATGAATTAAAAGTAAGCAAGCCTATAAACTAGGGAAAATGTTTGACAATGACATTCCACACAAGAATCTTAGAACTAAAATTTGCAGAATACAAAAGAGTCACTACAAGAAAAAACACTGATAACCCAATTACAAAAGGAGCATAGTATTGGAAGAAAGATATTTGGATAGTCAAGAAGCACATGAGGAAATGTTCAAAATCACTAGCAATCAGATTCCAATCAAAACAACTATGAGTTACCATCTCGCCTAAGGAGCAATAGCAATGTTTAACAGGACAGTAATCAGTAAATGTTGGAGAGAATGAAGAAATATTGGATGATAATTGTGGAAAGACATCAGGTCTTTTGTTCACAGAGTCACTATGAGTCGTGCTCAACTCGACGGCAATCAGCAACAAATAACAGTAATTATAGAAAGACATTCGGTCTTTTGCCCATGGAGTCACTGAGTCGTGCTCGACTCTACAGCAATCAATAATAACAAGCCATCCAAGCTATTTTGTTAATATTTGCTAATTTAAATAAATTTATTATTTGTGTGTTGATTTTTCCCAGGTTGGTCATGGCTTGCCCTGATCCTTACAGTGTTCATTGTCTGTGTATTATTCTACTTACGTTCTTCTCCTCCCATGTACAATCCTTTAATTACCTTCCTACGTTCATTGTAGCCGTCTTACAAAACATTTATTCTTTTCTGTGTGAGATATTTCACTAAACATTAAACTCCCATTGTATTTTACAAATACATTGTTTTTCTTCTGTACTGTATTGAACTTCATCCATCATGTAAATATACTACAGTTTCTCTGTAGATTTGTACATTGTTGATGTTGTTTCTCCAAGTTCAATGAGTTTCCAGAGACATGTGGTTTAGGAAGTGGATGCCACTCATGCTTCCAAGCCTGAATCAGTCTGGAAACTCCTCAAAACACCTTTCATAGTGGGTAACCATCAGGACATTTGTCACAACTATGGCACAATGTTCAGCATCACAACAACTCCAACTAATTCGGTACAGCAAGTAGACAAACTGCTGTACCACTTAAAGAATAGTAATGCTAATATTAATAAATTTGGTCTATGGAGTTTTAAAGACACACCCAAGAAATACTGTTGACTATGATAAACCAAGGTTGATGGCTTAGTGTTTAGGAATTGCACTACCAATGCAAAGGTACATTGTTCCACTCCACCACCTGTCTTGCAGAAGAAAGATAGGCTATCAACTCCTGTGTACTTGACCATATCTGAAAACCCTCTGGAAGGTCAATTTTGAATTTGTGAAAAACAATAACAAGTTATATAGTACTCTCTAAAAGAAGACAGGGAAGGGGAGAAAGTGTGCAGAAGAATGGAAGATAATCACTAGGATGGGAGAGATTGGTGGACAGATGGTGGCGTATGAAAAAATAGGCAAGGTGCAATAGGGACTTGATGAGACAGAATGATAAAAGTGCTAAATAAATAGTAATTAAGTATATAAGACCCAAGTATAGGAATAGTTCTATAAAACAAAATGCATGAATGAAACAATGTACACAAATGATTGTCTAAATATGAATGATTGTACAAAACAAAATACAAAAATACCTTCAAAAAAGGCAAATAAAATTATCTTAATGTCTTGTATTTGCTAATATTAATAGTAATAATTTACATTTTGTTAAAACAAACGGTCAGTGTGTTCAGCTTATCACCAGAAAGTCTAAGATTTGAGTCCAGCTACTTGTGGAAGGAGAGTTTAGAGATCTACTTCTGAAAATTGAGTCGCTAAAAATCATATACCACAAATTTATAATTGATAAATAAGGAAAAATGAACTTTTGTATAACTGCTATGAGTTAGGTGGAATTTTTTATTTTCTCAACTATGCCTTGAGTTAAAACTCAAACCTCATCACTGTTGAATCTGAACCAGTTCAAAGCTGACCCTCCACCAGGGATTAGAAGGCTGTGAATAGCAAAATCATCTGCTATGACTCTGAGCTCTGGTGACTTAAGGGTAAAGAATATGTGGTTTGGATCCTCCAGCTGTTCTGCAGGAGAAAGATGAACAATCAATTCCCATGCACTTTACTGCCTTTGAAAACCTGCTAGAGGATCAGCTCTGAGTTTATTCTGACTCTAAGATAAACAATAACCTAATATGAATCTGAGAAATGACAAAGTATGGCAGGAGAAAAATCAATGCCTTTGAGTCGTGGTGTTGGAGAAGAGTGCTGTATATTGCATGGACTGCCTAAAGAACAAATATGTATGTCTCGAAGTATGTGATAACTTCAAGTGCAAGGATGATGAATCTTTGCCTTACATTCTGTGGGCATATTACCAACTGTTCCTTGGAAAGGTCATCACACATGTAAAGGTGGAAAGTCAACATAAGAGATGAAGACCTTCGAGGAGATGGACTGGAACAGTTAATGTATCAGTGAACTGAAGTATGTCAGAGATGATGAAGATTGCACAGATGGAACAGGGTTATTCTCAGGGTTGCTATGAGTCATTCTTGACTCTTGTTGTTGTTCTTGTTTTTGTTGTGTAACATAGAATCAGAACCAAACCTTAGTTGACCTCCAGTGGGTTTTCAGAGGCAGTTAATCACACAGGAGGACATTGCCCATCCTCTCCCACGGAATGGCTGGTAGCCTCAAACCATGTGTCTTCGCATTGCAGTGCAGCTTCTTGAGGCCACATAGCAACAACAAATCACCAAAGATGACATTCCCATCTTTCTCCTGTAAAATAGCTGGTTATTTCAAATCACCAGAGAGACACAACCTTTGGATTAGTAGCGCAACTCACTATAGTCCAGACCACCAAAGCTAGAGTGGTAAAGTGGTAAAGTGAAAATGTAGGTTTTAAGAGACTAAATTGCTTCTAAAGATCAAGCAAAATTGAAAACTCAAAACTAATTCTGGTTCCTTGAATTCTCAGACAGCAGGATCCTCTAGCTAATTGTGATGATATATAAAGAGTGACCTTTTTTCTGCCATAAAATATTTTGAACAACAAATTTCCTTTGTCTACTTAGTGAATGAAGCTCAGTTCATAGTCTTTCAAAAGGAAATCTATTTTCAGGTCTATTCAGTAACTTTCAACAATTTGAGCTCCAAAAACGTATACTTAAATAGTAATATTCTCTATAACTTTAAGTGCTGTGCATGCAGCAACAGTCTTACTTCCTTATAAATATTTACTGTAAGGATCCTCTCCCATAATAGCCTAATTAGTGCTGTCCTTTGAACCACTACCAAAGATACACACACACTACATACATATACACACATACAAATACGCTGATGGCTTGTTACATTAAATGTTGGGCTGCTAGCCAAAAGATCAACAATTTGAATTCACCAATTTTGGAAGACAGATGAGCCAGCCTGCTCTTGTAAAGATTTATATACACTCAAAAGTAGCATTTCTTCTCTCGTTGCAACCCTCTGTGAACAACAGATTGAACGTGGCATGCTAGCATGAATGACCATTTTTTTCTGGAAAAGTACAATTTTTGATAAATCAAGATTTTTTGAGTAATTAAGATTTAATTACTGCCATTTGCACTCCCTGCTCTTTGTCTGTGTCATCCTATTCCTCCATGACCTCAACAAACTCACAACACCCAGTACTGACAAACAAGGCAGGCGTTCATGCCTGCTAATCAGACCAATATGACTGGCCTTCCTTTTCATTGCTCTGGACTTCTTTGCTTCAAGCTATCTATCATTACCTAAAATCACATTTTCTTTTCATTTTATTATCTTTGTCATTAGACTATAAAATTTTTGAGTGCAAGGTTTTGTCATGTTTACCCTTTAGTATTTAAACAGTGTCAAGGTTTGACCTATGACAAATAGATTTTGAGTGAATAAATAGCACAACTTAATTAATAAAATCATAGAACATTAACATTTCAAGCAAAGTCTAATATATATTTATAGTTTAGTTTATAAAAGAGTATATTTGATTATAATTATATTTTAATGAAAAAAGGTTTCATGCTGCATGTTTTCTTTTTACCTACAGACCATGAATGTATTAATTTTGCTTCATAAATGAGTTTTAACATCAAGAGAATGAACTATCACATTGATATGTTGATTTAGAGATTTCATGGAGGATTAAAGATTTAATTTAGATTTGTTTTATCAAACAAAATTGACATTTACATTTTTGTAGTAAAAATTTCAGATAACAAGCAAAAAATGGACCAGGATGATGAATCTATAAATATAAATGTTTTTGTTGTCAAGACATCTGTACAATCATTTTCATTCCTTAAAAACAATAAATTAAATAATTTATATTTTAAATCATACTATCCTTGGCCTAGTGTAATTAAATATAAGTTGAATCAAGTGTCCTTTGCAGACTCTATGAAAATGATGTCTAGTTCAGCAGAAAAATTATCATTTGTTCATCTTAAAAATTGTAAAGCTAAAAATAACATTGTACATTTTCTTAACTTGTGTGTCTCATTTTTTTAAGAAATTGAAAAGGGAGGATGTGGAGACCCTGGAATTCCTGCCTATGGGAAACGGACAGGCAGCAGTTTTCTCCATGGAGATACACTCACCTTCGAATGTCAGGCTGCCTTTGAGTTGGTCGGAGAGAGAGTTATCACTTGTCAGCAGAACAATCAGTGGTCTGGCAACAAGCCCAGTTGTGTATGTGAGTATTGTGCCTTGCCTTAAACCCTATTCTGTTCTGAAATTGCCTTGTAAAAGGAATACAAGAGAAAGCAGTGAGGCAAGCATTTAGGAGGCAGCTTTCAAAATGACTTAAAAATGCTTCATTTACCAGAAACATACCAGGGAGTTTTCAAACATCAATTTTCCTATTTTCCTCATTCAATTAAAACTAATTTATGATTGCAGTATGTCTAGTAGTCAAGTGTATTATTTTAGGATGATCATAAAAGTCACAACCCTTCCATTAATAATTTATGACAATATTCTATATTATACATTAACATTTGAAAGAAGGAGTGGCATCCACTTCCAAAATAACTTGTCTCTGGAAACTCTATGAACTTGGAGAAACTATGAAAGTTACACAATTGTTCAGGTCTTTCATTCATAGAGTCTCTATGAGTCGTCTAAGACTCAATGGCACTTAACATCAATAACATCAGAATATATGAAGTCTTTTTATGACTTAATAATGTCGTATACCACTTAAACTCAAATTGTTCTGCAATGTGAAACAATGGTGAAAGTATGAGTTTAAAACTCAATTGAGTAACTGCCTATTTTCTTCTAAGTGTAACTTTCTAGCAAGTAGAAAAAATATGTTCTAGTCAATTTAAAGGAGATCCCTTCCAATACTTAAATATAGCAATAATTAGAAGATAAATGAAATTTTATGGAATTAGATGCAAAAATGTAATCTATATATAAATTTAACAGTTATTTGCTCCAAGAAGGTAATGTCTGCATATCTATATACATCTCTAAGTATCTGTTTTTAAATGTAATTACTAAACAGATTGTATATTAAGCAACTAGAATATGATTTTAAAGTTAGTAATTTGCTAATATTTGCATATAAGTATTAAAAGTGACTTATAAAACTTGAAAGAGTTTGACTTTAAAAATATATATAAGACAACATAAATAAAAAGGGAGACCATTGAGTAGAACAAATATTATTTTCTAGAAAAATGTTTCTGAAATTTATACAAATATTTTCATATTTATATTTGTTCATGTAGTGAAAGAACCTCTAAAACTAGAAATTTAATTAGAGACAAGTTCTCAGACAAATTGTTGGGATTATTTTTTTTTGTGCTATATAATATAATATTATTAAATCCTCCATTTAAAATTTTCAAGTGAAGACCATTTTATGGTTTTAAATTATCGATTTAAAAATGGCTGAAAGTTGATTGCCAGTTGCAGATATGAATTTCCTTTCCAAGTTTTTAACCATCAGTGTCACAAATGCCAAATTGTGTGAAAAATCTCTTTGTGTTTTCACAGTTTCCTGTTTCTTCAACTTTACTGCACCATCAGGGATTATTCTCTCACCCAATTATCCAGAGGAATATGGTAACAACATGAATTGTGTTTGGTTAATAATATCTGAGCCCGGAAGCAGAATCCACCTAATATTTAATGATTTTGATGTGGAACCTCAGTTTGACTTCCTTGCAGTCAAAGATGATGGAATTTCTGACATAACAGTTCTTGGAACTTTTTCTGGCAATGAAGTGCCTTCCCAGCTGGCCAGTAGTGGACACATAGTCCGCCTGGAATTTCAGTCTGATCACTCTACTACTGGCAGAGGGTTCAACATCACTTACACAAGTGAGTACTCTTACACAAATACCACTTTTATGTTCCCCAACATGAAGTTGAATGTTAAGGCTGATATCTCAGATGTTCTGTAAACATTTAAGAATAGTAAAAGCAAGAAATGACATAGCATCATTCTTATAACCTAAATAAATATATCGTCTATTTAGAATAGTGTTTTGGTCATGGCTGTTAGTAAGAGATAGAATCTCTTCCTTGGTCTTCCTCTTTACATTTTTATCCATCTATCCATCCATCCACTCATCTATTTCATCCATCTGTACATCTGTTCATCTACTCATTCTTTATGTAACAAAAGAAGGTAAAAAATGTAGAATATTATGTTTTGAAATATGTAATATTTACTTAAATATACTGCTGAGATAATAAAGTAGAATAATAAAAATATTAAATGAATAATAGAAAATCATTAGAATACACAGTTATTCCTCTTGATGGTTCAGCAACTCTGGGATGCACAATCAATATTTCTCATTTTGTAAATAAATATAGGTAGGCTGAGAGCATTACAGTAATATGCCCAAGTTCAGATAAAAAACTCAAGAGCCAGGGTTGTAATCCAGATATATCTGAACTATATTCTTTGTGGTTCTCATTTTTTCTTAAGCATATAAAAAGTGCATTTCAAAGTGTAAACCACTCCATAGTTGATAATTATTATCTATTTATCCATTTGTTTATTTATCTTTCTCTAGTTCTCTTTCTCTCAAATTTGTTCTCAATAAATAAGGATTATTTTTACGTACTGTACATTTTTACAAAGTTAACTATGCTGTAACAGAAAAATATTGGAAATGAAGTGTTTATATTTTTTATAAAAATGTGTTAAATAAAAATATTGTTTGCATTTATTTTATTTTAAAATGATATAACTATTATTTAAGAATTGTTATGCCAATTATTATATCTTTACCTCATGTATTTGCAGCATTTGGCCAGAATGAGTGCCATGATCCTGGCATTCCCATAAATGGACGGCGTTTTGGTGATAGGTTTCTACTCGGGAGCTCAGTTTCTTTCCATTGTGATGATGGCTTTGTCAAAACCCATGGTTCTGAATCCATCACCTGCATTCTGCAGGATGGAAATGTTGTTTGGAGTTCTACTGTTCCCCGTTGTGAAGGTATGTGTCTTACATCAAAGGGAAACTTAGTTTCCTTCAAAATGGTTTACCAACTTAAAACAAACAAAAAGAACTTTTGAGTAATCCAACATAATTTTCTTCATAATGTATCTGTAGTTAAAATGGTTAACTGTGTAATAAAATTGGATGGAATTTTATAAGGAACAAAGATTACCTGTTAGTATGACTCATTTAAAAAATCTTTATGTTCTCTATAAATAATCTTCCTTCTATGAATATTCATATATTTCATATATGTTCTAATTTTTTATGTCTTCAGTAAATAGCAAAGAAATAGAAATTTAAAACCAGAAATAAAGTGGCATTCTTAACTATTGTTGCTGTTGTTGTTAAGTCCTCAACATCCTCTCTTCAGGTTCCTAGGGTTTCTGGAGGCAAACTATTACGGAAGTGGATGCCACTCCTGCTTCCAAGGTTGTTTTAATCAGGGAGCTCCACCCCACTCTCTGTCCGCATTAAATTGTAAAAATTAGAAAGTACTAATATGATTTAGCCTTAGAAAATTGTGGTGAAACTAGCATTTCCTGGTACCAATTAAGGAGCCCATTAACATAAATTAGGTGTAAATTGATAACAAGTATTTTCTTTTTATTACATTTTGATCTATAGGTTATATTTATGTCTCTTCTGAACTACTTTGGTCATGTTGCAAGGAGCTTGGAAAGGTAGAAAGAGGGAGAAAGAGAGAGAGACCATCAATAAGATGGATTGATATAGTGACTAGGGTAATGAGGGTAGGTGTGTCAGAGACAATAAAGTTGACATAAGATAGAGCAGGTTTCAGGGCTTTTGTTCATAGTGTTGTTATGAGTCACAAGTGACTTGATGGCACATAACAACAACACAACAACATCATAAGTAACATTCAGAATACTAAAGTTATTGATTGAAGAATGGTATTTGTGTTTCTGTTGTTAGCAATATGAAAATTGAGGAAAAACTTGATTTCTAACAGCAGTTGTTATTGTTTTTTGTTGTTATGTGCCATTGAGTCACCTGCGACTCACGTTGTTGTTGTTATGTGCCATCGAGTCGCCTGCGACTCATAGCGACCCTATGTACAACGGCTCTAAACTCTGCTCTGTCCTGTGCCAATCGCACTCTCTCTGACACTCCCATCCCAATTATCCCAGTCACTGAATCAATCCACCTCATAGAGGGCCTTCCTCTCCTGCGCCGCGACTCATAGGACCCTATATACAACAGCCTTAAACCCTGCTCTGTCCTGTGCCAATCGCACTGTCTCCGACACACTTACCCCGATTACCCCAGTCTCTGAATTAATCTATTTCTTAAAGGATCTTTCTCTCCTGCACTGTTCCTCCACCCTTCTAAGCATGACGTCCCTCTCCAAGAATTGGCCCTTCTTGGAAAATGTCCAAAGTATGTGAGAGGAAGCTTCAGAATCCTTGCCTGAAAGGATCAGTCTGGTTTAACCCTCTCTAGGTCTAACCTGTTCATTCTCTTAGCAATCAATGGTATATTCAACACTCTTCTCCAGCACCATAACTCAAAGGTATCAATTCTTTTTCTATCATCCCTAGTCATTGTCTAGCTCTTTGACGCATAGTAAGTGATTGCAAAGACCGTGGCCTGTATCAGGCACATCTTAGTTTCCGGAGTGGCATCATTGCTCAGTAGTACTGTGGAGAGGTTCCTAACAGCAGATTTTCCCATCACAGTATGTCTTTTAGTTTCCTGATTGCTGATGCCAAGAGTGTAGATTGTGGAGCAAAACAAACTAAAGTTGTTAATAATCTCATTTTCTTCACCGTCTATCATGATGCTGCTATTGGCCCAGTGGTAAGATTCTTTGTCTTCTTGATATTGAGCCTCAATTCATATTGAAGGCTGCAGTCCTTGACCTTCTGGTTAAAAAACTATTATGCACTCATATACTAGGATAACAAGTCATTAAAAAGATGATAAAGTCAAAGGTTTTCATACTGTGTTACTATGTAAATCAATATCTATAATAACATTTAATGTTTCAGTTTTGAAATTTCATAATATTTAAAGCTAAAAATATGTATAAACTACTCTTACTCTTCTTTTTTACTGATAGTATGCTGTAAGCATGATGAAGTAACATCAAATAAAATAAAGACCAGTAAGGTAAACAGTGAACTACCAACAAAATGCAGCAAAGGTGATCCAAAAGCACAGAAAGGCATTTTAAAGACTCTCATTGTTGAGAAGCACATGTACTTTCCTCTTCACAAGTATCCAGTTAACAACTAGGTAACAGACTAAATATAAGCTGATGCCAAAAAGAAATTCCTTGGAGAGTTTCATGGCTTCATTTCTGGAAGCTCGGGATATTTAACATAGCATGTTCAAAATGAAATTAACATATCTGCTATAAAAAAACAAATTGAATAGGAAATACTAGATTGTTTGTACAGCTGAGCACCAGTATTTTCTATAAAATACCACCAAAGATGTGCATAACTTAAAATACTTCCTTTTGAGTCTAGAGATTAGTGAGATAGGGAGGATTTTTTTTCTTCCCTAAAATACATCTTTAGGATATCAGAATCTCTTTGGCACTTTGTAATGATATTTAGGCTGGAATTTTCCTCAGGTTTATAATATATTCACAAATTCTGAGTGTATAGTTGTTGTGGAACAGCTGCCATTGAAATATGGCTTTAAAAGCTAATGATTTTTTTGATATTAACATCATAGATAGATCTAGGTTCTATGTTATAGATGCTAAATTTTACTGTTCTTTGTAAGAAAGATTAGAACTATATAGTTCAGTTCTAAATTATGGTTTCTTATTTGAAAAGCATATAATAGTATTTTTCTCTTTATTAAAATTGAGAAATAAAGCATTTTAATTAGTTATATTTCATGATTGTAGATTGTTTTTGACAAAAATATCAGGTATTATTTAATATAAATAGATGATCAACTGGTCTGTTTATTGCCATACAGAGATAAGTCATGGTTGCTGTGTTGTTAAACACTGTGATACTGATGTGTTAAATGTGATAATGGTTACCCATGGTGGACAGTATTTGGTGCAGCTTTCTGATTACAACAAGCTTGGGAGCAGGAGTGGCATCCACTTCCGAAGTGGCTTGCCTTCGGAAACTTTATGAACAGTGCTCAGGTCTTTCGTTCACAGGGTTTCTATGAGTCATCTATGACTCGACAGCATCTAATAACAATAACAACGACAACAGAGAGAGAGATTCGTTGGCCTAGTGGACAGAAAGTTATGCTACCAAGCCCAAGGTGGGTGATTTTAATCTATGGCCCTCAGGCTTGGTTCACATTGGCTTTTTTTGTGAAACATTCTTTTGGTGGTACAGCCCTGGTCTGTGTGTTGCTGTACAGAGGTAACTCGTGTTTGCTGTGATGCTAAGCAGTGTGACACTGATGTGCCAAATGTGATAATGGTTACCCATGGTAGACAGTGTTTGGTGGAGTTTTCCAATTAAAACAAGGTTGGAAGAAGCATCCACTTGTGAAATGGCTTACCTCTGGAAACTCTATGAACGGTGCTCAGGTCTTTCATTCATAGGGTCACTATGAGTCGTCTACTGCTCGACAACACCTAACAACAACAATGTTACAATATCTGAGATGAAACTTTTCAAGGAACTTCAGAATTACAGCCCTGGAAGGGACCTTATGGAACAAGCAAATCCCTTTAATGAGGAAATGAAGACCTGGGAAGTGACTTGCCACCCTAGGGTGGCTAACTGGTGACTGGAGTAAGGCTGGAAAACAATCCTCGTGATCCTAGGCTTGTGTTTCTAAGTTTGTCCACACTGTGAGTATGATAGTCTCTATGTCAGTAAATAAGACAGTAGACCTGCAAAGGAGATTTAGATATGAGCCAACATGCCTGATAGGTGTTTTGTGAGATGTAGTGATTTCAAGACATCTTTATTCACATAGTCATGTTACATACGATCTGGTGGGGTTAATTTATTTAACAAAAAATTATGTAAAATACTACATATGAAGTTAAAAATTTATATGTTGTTGTGAACCATCAAATCAGAAGCCCCCATCAGGTTTTCCAGAAGCATTTGATTACATGGGAGGAGATTGTCCATCCTTTTTCTGTGGAGCAGCTGGTGATCTCAAACTGTATGTCTTTGGGATGACGGCACAGTTTCTTGCCACTAGGCCACTAGATGGATGGATGGATGGATAGATAGATAGATAGATAGATAGATAGATAGATAGATAGATAATAGAGGTAAATAGCTATCTATGTCTATCAAAATGATAATTGTAATTATTCACCTTTTTCCTCTTTAATTGTATTTCCTTAGTCATCTTGACTTAGTACATACAGCTTCAGTAATAAATAAACATCTATCAAGCATTGTTGTAGTTTATCAGTGAGTCAGAACTGACCCATAGCTGACCCTCCAATGGATTTTAAGAGGCATTTAATCACAAGAGAGGAGGAGATTGTCCATCCTTCACAATGAAGAAACTGGGTGAATTTGAACCTGGTGTCTTTGCGATTGCAGCATAGGTTCTTGTCACTAGGCCATCTGTATACAATGCTTTAGTATATTATTGCCAAAATTGTGAACCTTTAAATTCTGAAGCTTAGCCTAATATGAGCAATAATACAGGTAGAAGTAGCATGGAAGACTTGATAGATGTGATATTACCTCAATCCTACCCGAAAAGTAATTATTTTAAATAATTTTAATTGGCACAGCAAGTAGGTACTATTGACAGCAATGACAGACAGCAGTAAAAATTACTGGAAAATATTTTATTTTATTTCTTTAAATAAATTATATTGGCACAGCAAGTAGGTACTATTGACAGCAATGACAGACAGCAGTAAAAATTACTGGATATTCTTTTATTTTATTTCTTTAAATAATTTTAATGAACATTTACAGAGAATTTGGATTTCCATTCATTCATTGCTGCATATCTCTCCCCGCCCAGCCCTGTCCCCCCGCCCCCCAGTTTGCTCCTCTCTTTCAAAAGTA